AGCCGTCATTGTTGTTTTGGCGGGTCCGGGCTGGGGATTCGAACCCGCCACCTTAGGTGTACGTGGCTGGCGCCTTAGCCGGTTGAGCTACAGGTGCTGAGCCAGGCAGTTGTTTTAATATCTATGTTGGGAGTATTTGATCACAAGTACAGAAAGAGTGCCTAGGGTGTTTTATCTTTCTTTTTTTTCTTTTAATTGAAACAGACTGTCATACTTGGTAAAGTGCTGTGGTGTCATAGCTCACAGCAACCTCATACTCGGGCTCAAGCAATTCTCTTGCCTCAGCCTCCCAAATAGCTGGGACTATAGGCGCCCACCACAACACCCAGCTTCTTTTTGTTGTTGTTTAGCAGGCCCAGGCCAGGTTTGAACCCACCAGCCCTGGAGCATGTGGCTGGTTCCCTAACCACTGAGCTATAGGGTGCCCCCTTTATCTTTCTTTTGAATCTGGAAGTAGTCCCAGAATGGAGCCACTTAAGAATGTCACTGGGAACTGCACCTCTCTTTTACTCTTCACCCTGCTTTGTATGTGGCTCTCATCCTCATGGTGTCAAGATGGCTCCTATATCTGTAGGTGTGGCAGGAAGAAAAGGGGGAAAGCAAGAGGCTGAAGGAGATAGCAGTTGAGTACTGTCTGGAAATAACCCTCCCCAGAAATCCTACCCAGAGACTTAGCCCTCTGTCTTGTAGGCCTCTAGTTGTAAAGGGAGACATTTTAACTGGGCATGTTGCTGCCACCTTCATTATTTGTGTTGTGTTATTAAGGACAAAGAAGACTATAGGAGCAGAACTACATCTACATTTTTATTAAAACTGAAGCTTTACAATGTTACTGAGTAACCAGAGTATTTGCATTTCGGTTTTGTGGGCAAACATGTAATTTTAATGTGTGAGCTAAATGCTCTTGAGCATCTATTTATTCACTGAAGACCTGTATTCTGGACTAATTAATATGAGTATGAACAGTTTACATACTCAAAGTGTGGATATGTAAAATCTTACTCCATAAATAACAGTTAAATACCATGTGACAAGTCCTGTAGAATTCTAAGACAGCATCCTGGAAGTCTCAGATAGTGCCAAAGAACATAGCAAAAGGAGCAGCATTTTGAAGCCAAGAGTATTGTCATTGGATTGTTTGTAGGGTGTTTGCTTGAGAAAGAATTTCACTGTTGCCTGACTAGAGTGCAGTGACCTCATCATAACTCCCACCAACCTTCTGGGTTCAAGGGAGATCCTCCTGTCTCAGCCTCCTGAGTAGCCAGGACTATAAGAGTTCACAACCACACTAAGTTAATTTTTCTATTTTTAGTAGAGACTCTTGCTCAGGCTGGTCTCAAACTCCTGAACTCAAGGGATCCTCCCACCTCAGCATCCCAGAGTGCTAAGATTACAGGTGTGAGTCACCACACCTTTCTGGGCTAGAACTTCTGCTATAGATTCAGAGATGTACCAAAAAGAAAGAAGGGAAGAAA